GCAGTGCGAGAGGAGCGGAGCGGCAGCGAACAGAGCTGATGCGGCGTCGCTTGTTGGCGGGGGTGATGGTCTCGCTCTCTCCGTTGTGCGCTGACCGCAGCTGGTGTCTCGTGCTTAAACCCGCATTTGGAAGTAGTCAAATAGGGAGGCAAAGTTTCACCCCTCGGCTCAAACCACAGAGGCGGTTGTTGGTTATCTGTATAGTAAACTACAGGCAGTGTTGGTTTTTGGGGAGTTGCTGCTGTGTTCAACATTAGGGTCAGTAATGCAAAATGGAGTTGCGTTGTGCGCTGACCGCAGCTGGTGTCTCGTGCTTAAACCCGCATTTGGAAGTAGTCAAATAGGGAGGCAAAGTTTCACCCCTCGGCTCAAACCACAGAGGCGGTTGTTGGTTATCTGTATAGTAAACTACAGGCAGTGTTGGTTTTTGGGGAGTTGCTGCTGTGTTCAACATTAGGGTCAGTAATGCAAAATGGAGTTGCTTTGTGGCCACCTTTGTCTTTGGGAAATTATGCCTATAAGATAGACGTGCACAAATGTGTACGCTTATTTGCATGTTGTTCCGATGGTATCGATGCTCGGCGCGCGAGCGATGCTCCCGTACGGCGCGTTGTGCACCGCGCTCTGCCTACGAAGTGCCCCTTGGAGGCTGCACAAGAGCCCTTCTTGCCGTTCAGTGCAATAGGAAGAAGGTTTGCCTGGAAAAAAAAGCTTTAAAAAATCCTGGTTTACTTCTGGCATTAGAGCAAACTTCTTAAATGTCCCTCCTTTCGCTTCCCGCTGTTGTTTGGAAAAGAGAAGGGAATAGGAAACGTGCAGATTCCCTGTGCTGCTTCATTTTGGAACAGTAAAATGAAGTAATAATTGAGACTATAAGAAGTTTTTTTTTTTTTTTTTTTTTTAATAAAATGATGGGTTTTATTTTTAGAAGAAATAATGGTTTGGAGATCGCTGACTTGTGAGGGGCTCCGTGTATGGAAAGGCAACAGCAGATGAGATTCACTGGGAAAGGCTGTTATTTTTAATCAGAGAGCAGGCTGATTGGCAAGCGTCTGAAAGCACTGAGCTTCTCTTAATTTGTTAGACTAATACATCGGATGGCTCTTCAAAGCACGTGGCCTTCTTGATCTTCTCAATTTGTACTTTATTCACATATTTTCATTAATTTAGAGAAAGTCATCACTGAATAATAAATCCATTGCTGGGCAGTAAATGCAGTGTTTACAAGGTATTTAATCGAGGAGAAATACACCAGCTCAGCTTTTAGCTAAGCCAGCAGTAATCTAGCAAAATCTGTTTAGAAGTCTGAAAAAGAATAAAGCCATTTTTAATAATTAATCACAGAAATGTTTTGTGTTGGTAACTTGAGGGCAAGGAAATTATTTCAGTGTAGCATTGTAGTACAACGTGCAATCAGAACTGTACCGACTTACCTATCTGCTGGTAATTTCACACCTAAATTTTAATACAGTAGAGATTTAATATACCGTGTTTGTATTTTTCTTTCTTGGTTTTGAATTTAAAAATTCCTAGCTCTTAACAAAGAATCCAGAGAATTCTCCTTTTTTTTTTTTTTTTTTTTTGTCCTGAATCCAGTGAGAATACAGTTCTGTTATCAGTCAAAAAATACCATTTTGAATACAATTCAAAATGTTTTTGAAATGTTGCATTTTTGGCTCTGTAGTATTTTGTTACTGAGCACACTTCTTTCTGTTGTGTTTTCAAAAAGCAGACCACTTCTCCACAGTGTTGTATCCAAAATAGACTTCAAATTTGAACAGCTAACTGTGTTTTATGATGTGGATATGGTATAAGTTTGTGCCTCAGGTGTGTGTGTATGTATGTACGTGTGCATGCACATCCCTATGTAGATGCCATAAGTTCATTCTTTCCCTCTTTGGAATCAGGACGTTTGCAAAATTAGCATTTGTGGTGTTATCTTCTGCAGTCTGATTTCTTACCACTATAGATTTTGAAAGAAGGAGCAGACCATTTTTGCATGAAACTTAAATAAGGCTTTTAAGTAATAGGTAAAAAGATGAAGTAAAATACTTATATACAAATAGCTCTAGTAGATAAGGTAGTAACACAATTTGAGGAGGAAGAAACTGCCCACAGATCAAGATAACAAGATGAAAAATAAAACGGATTATCTGTTTGGTTGCAGACTGTGGTGTCTAGAATCAGTTATTGTGACTGAGGGAAAGTCTTTGTGGAAATATTACTATTAAATACTAATAGTGGCTTTCTTTTTCAAAGAATATAGAAGAGCAGTTCATATAATGATCAATTTATCAACCCTATTTTGAAGATACTAAAAACCACATGGCTACCACAGGAAGGAGTCGTCCAAAATATACATATATATGTATATATATATATATATAAAAGGCAAGAAAAAAAAGAGGGAGAAAGAAGCCCACAGTTCTGCAAATTCCTGAAAATGGATTCTTTGATTCCAAATCATGGCTCTTCTCAATTGCAAAATCAATGCTGAAATATTTTGGATAATTACAGTACCAAAATGCAGTTTGTGTGCAGCTAATATGTTGAATAAAAAAATCATTTTTTCTTTATTAAATAGAATCTTTCCAAATAAATATCTGCACTGCAGGGCGGCCAAGCACAGCCAAATAGCACCACCTTATGGCCGTGCTCTTCTGAGGCTGCGCCTTGTCTTGGCACTCTTGGATTGGTGACATGATCTTTCTCATTTTAAAAATTTTAGGTGCATATTCCTGCGTATATAAATACACAGGTGTATCTTTTGAAACGTAACACTTGTCAGAAATGTAACTTTTTTTTTTATTGGTCTTCCAGGCATCTGATGCCAGCTCTGAGAAACTGTTCAATGCTGTTACAAATAAAGGTAAGACTGCAATTCACATCGCAAACATGTTTTCCCCCATACATTTCTTTTCATGGCAGTTTCAATGGGAGATGAAATGTAACTTGTCTTGCAGAAATGTCGCAATCAGCTTGTTAGCGCTTTTTATGTTTCTCTTGGTTTCAGACATGTTCTGTATGCTTGGTAATTGCTTTGCTTAAGCAATATAATATAAAGGCTTTAAATAATGCATTGCCTGCCAGGTCAGAATTAATTTAAATAACAATATTAGGAATAGTTTATTTTACAAATGGCTTTAATTTAAGCTCATTTAAATAACTGTAAGAGTTTTCAAAATGTTTTAACTTGATTGTTACTCATCAGCTACATGATAGACATGGAATTATGAATAGCCAATTTGCACTGCTGACAGTAATAACCAGCCAACGTTTAGTATTCACAGGATAATAGTCATAAACCATGGCTTACTGTGCTGTATGCTTTTCGTAAAGTTAATAAATGATATAGAGGGCTACATTTAAATATTCAGTGTTCCATTAATTTTTTTCCAAACAGCAATATAAAGAGAGAGTGGCTAATGATATAACAGTACATTAAGGGAAAACTTATCCTAAATCAGCGCCAGAGCTTCTGTGCAGAGCGTGTTGTGAAGCAGTGTTCTTAGGAAGACTGCAGGCTTTGGGGATTTTATTATTATTATTATTATTATTATTATTATTATTATTATTTCTTTTTTTTTTTTCCTCCTGTGAGAACGGTTGAGGAGCAGCTCCAGGTGTGGGTTGTGCCAACGGGCACAGTCCAAAGCCTTTCAAGTGCATCGTCTCTTCTGCCTTTTGCACCCCGCTGTGTGTGGCCGTGCTCGATACCTGCTTAGGGACAGGGCTGCTCCCGGCTTGAGACCCGTGCGATTTCAGCCTGCTGCTTTTTTGGGGAGGGGAGTCTGGGCTATGAAGTATGCGTTTGATTTGAGTTTGGGATTTTGATATTGTCCATTGACCAGGTGTGGATTTGTGTAGTTGTTTGCCCTTGGAGCTTCTCGTGCGGTTTGGGCTTGGGGTTCTCTGTTCCAGTGGGTCATCATAGTGGGGTTTTTTTGTTTCAATTTTTATTTTATTTCATTGTGCCTTTTAATTCAAGAAGCCCTTTAATCGGGCACAGCTCTGACCCCATTAGGCTTGGGATTCCCCAGCCCAGCGAAATTTGGAGGAGGGAAGAAAACAAAAAACAAAAAAAAAACAAAAAACAAAAAAAAGGAGGGGAAAGACTTGTGTGTTTGGAATGACCCAGGGCCCCCAAACTACATGTGACCACAGCTTTATTTTGCTAATTTGCTGTAAAAAGCTTTGGCATTTGAGGCGGCCTTTCCTGGGGCTGGGCCAGGGGAGAACAGGAGCCCAGGCGGTGAATGGACATTCCTGCGGCCGCAGTAACTAGGGTGAAGGGCTCTCTGCGGCCCAAGAATGAGACGTGATTGATGAAGAGCCCGGCTCTGCTCCGCTTCCTTTCGTTTTCTTTCGGGAATCCAGTGCATTCCCACATTCTTATTTTTGTTTACTTACCGAGGAGTTTGCTTCGCGGCATCTATTTGGTTGTGAATAACCGTGCTTGACAGGGAGCCTTTTCTTCCCAGCTACTTTTCTTTGGTGATTTAGTTCCCTTGAAAGGATTAGGGTTTCTTTGTGTAGCCTAAAATCAACATAGGCTTTAGGGAGCTTTGCTTGGGAAACCATACACAAATAAGCTTTTTAGTTGATGGTAGATTATTCCTTTGCCCCTTATTTCCATCAAAATGGCGTCTTTCTTTTCTGCTCCTGAGTTTCCCCTTAAAGCCATATGCTAATTCCTGTTGGGAACATGAATGACAAGGGGAAGAATCAATGCAAATCCAGGTGCGGCAGAACTAGGCTGACTGGTACTTGTGTTCCTTTTTTTTTTTCTTTCTTTTTTTTTTCTCCTTCCTCCACTGGAAGAAAGAGATTAAGGGGGGAGAGGTTGAGATTTTTTTTTTTAATATTAAATTAAAATAATTAAAAAATAATTAAAAATTATTTTTAAAAAGGGCGGGGGAGGGGGAGAGTTTTGTTAAAGGGATTAGCATTCAGACTGCTAAACACAAGGAAACAAGCTCGGAAAGCTCCCTGCTCTGCAGATAATGTGGGTAATTGCTCGCAGACAGGTGCGGGATTGCGGAGGGCAGCGGGTCCCCGCCCTGTGTGTGGGGTGGCTGGCGGCTGTCAAGGCACTGTCAGTTTGATGTATTTCAAGTTCAAGTTCTTGTGGTGCAATTCAGCCTGTTTGCTTTAAAGCCAGTTCTTTCTCCCGCCCCGTGTTGCCCGTTGTTTCTTTTGCCAAAAGCAATAAAAATCACTCTCAAGAAAGGTCAGATCTGCACTGGATAAGTCAGGGTGAGACTCCACAGAGCTGCTGGCTGATAGACCAACAGGAGAGGTACAGAGAGGGGACAAGCGGCCAGAGCATCTGACAGCCCTCAAAGCTACCTAGGTTTCACATGTGCTTTTTGACTTGTCCCCCTTATTTTATAAATCATAGCTAGTTGAGGTAGCAGGTACAGGAGTATCTACTGCTACAGGAGTAATGTCTTCATAAAGCACATGGACATCCTGAAGCATTTGGGGGTCTTGTGGCAGCATTTTATCTGCTTTCTATGGTTCCATTGTTTTATTAGAGTGGGACTTTGTGGCCAAAGATGAGATCAAGCTCATGCTGTGCTTTGATTAGTGTCATGTGGAATAGTCATCTTCAGAAACATTAATAATAAGAAAGTGTAGGAGAAAAAGGGAAGAAAGGGTCCATGAATTCTCAGGGATTTGGTCACTCAGCTGCCATGTAGGAGTTAATTTCCTTTAGAGTCCAGTAGGAGGATGCACAGCTGGATGCAGATGAGTCCTGACCCATGAGTTCTGGGGGACTGTGTGGCGCATGTGATAGCAGAACAGGATAGGGCAGTGGGAGTTGTTGAGGAGGATGGGGCTTGGTCATGGGGGCAGGAGTCATAGCTACCATTGGGATGAGTTGTCCCTGACTGTGAATGAGAACCCCCAGGCCTGTCAGTTGGCTGTGAGGTCTTTCCACTGTGATGCTCACATTTAGGATGCCTGCAGACTGAGAGCGCTTCACAGCATTTGGAGAAGGAGTTGGACTGTTAAATTAAATGAGAAGGGCAGTAATAGAAGATGAGAAGTCTTACCTTCCTATTAGGAATTAGGATATATTATTTCTGCAAGATCTGGTGAGCCTGTGGAGAGGTCCGGAGTTGAGATGGGACTTCCTGTACATGGGAGCAACCAGGGCGCTTGCCCTCCCTCTTGCCCCCTCAAGTGCCCATGGTCATTAATAGTGCCCCCCTCAAGTGCCCATGCCAGGGATATCGTACTACCTTTCCAGAGGATATCAGTCTACTTAAGAAAATCAGTAGTGGGATGTGTCCATGTTTCCCATGCTGCCAAGCCCTGTGTCCGCCTTTCAGATGGACTTTCTTACAGCATTGCTCTGACTGGCCTAAGGGTGCCACCCAAGCTCAGCTCCAGCTCTATCAATCCCTTCCTTCTGTGCAGCGTATCCCACCCAATTTCAGAATTGCTGCTTACAGCCTTCCCGTGGTTTAAAAAAACATGTCAACTCTTCCGTAGTGTCTCAGTGTCAACCTTAATAACATTAATTCTGTCCCAAATACACAGTTTTGTTCACTAATGTTTGTAAACAAAGCTTTGCGGCATAACGAAGTTTTGTTTTAATTGTTAAAAGACACTTCTGAAAGTTGCTCCATGGAGCAGGCAGCTCCTCCTACTACTGTGAATTTAATTTATGCTAACTGCCTCCTACTTGTCCTTGGAAAACAGCCCTTCCTGGAGGGAGAAAAGAGTCCCATAGTGGTGAAGTTTCATTTGTGCTGTATAGTGAAGTTTGCCTTTGATCAGAAGCACAATTGGGCTGTTAGAGCTTTTTATGTTCAAATTGTTTACAGGATGTTCATGTAAACTTTATGAATCCTTCTGCTTTGTGGTACCACCAGCTGTCAGGGAAATATTTATGCTCTCAGCTGGAGACAGATCAAGGCGTCTGGGTTACTAGTCCTCACTCGCGGCTGAAATGCTGGTTGGATCAAGCCCTGACTTTTTTGGTGGTTCTAGAGCAATATTCTTCCCTAGAAAAACAGGGCATACTATTTTCTCTTCCATCATCTTGAGTGAATCATTTCTTGAATCCTTTGCAGCATCTGTTGCTGTGGATGTGTAGGGAGCTCGGCCAGGCGGATGCCTCTTTCCTGAGCCAATTCACAGGAGATAATTGACTGCAGAGAAGTGCCCTCTCTGTGAGCCATCCACATAGCATCTCACATTGGATTGATGTAAATCCACTACAGCATGGATAGCATGAGCGCAGCCTTCACACAGCACGTGTGACCAGGAGCCCGCTGCTTCTGCCCCTTTCCACCGAGGTGTCCATAGGCACCTTTGGGTATGTTTTTAGCTTTGCTTTGGGCTTCTTTGAGTCTGCTGTCTGGATAGTTGGGTCTTCCCCACTACCCCCTTTCTCCTAGGGGGAATGCTACTTCCTAGACTGCCCTCAGGGTTATGGAGCAATCCCGCTGCACAGGAAAGACACCAGGCAGACAAAGAACGTCAGGGACTGTTGAATCATAAGAGCAGCTCCGCAAACTTCTTTTTTGTGGCTGTTAAGATGGTCTGACCTCCCTGAAAGGAATGCCTTTCCAGTGGAGAGTTTGCTGCTGGCTTTGCGTCACTTGATTGCCCTGCATTTTGTGGGTTTCGTGTGATATTCCCCCATCCCCCCCAGTATTTTCCATGCTCACTGTCTCATTAGCTGAGCGTTTGGAAGAGTGTGCTGCTTTGAAGACCCAGGTTTCTTGTACCTCTGAGATAGATTAGAAGAAATGTTGCATCGCTTCCTTGTAACTTCCAAGTCAGGCAGACAAGAAAAAAAAAAAAAAATCAATGCATGTCTTGAGATGGTCCTTTGTCAAGTGCACAAAACAG